GTTCTCTACTGCCCTTTTCAGTAAACCCTACAGTCAGCCCTAGGCAATTATGGGTGTTTTCTGCTACAACAAATTAGGTCTGCCTTTTCTAGAAATTATTAATAGGCAGTAACATTTATTGAGCATACCATGTGCCAGGCATTGCGGATTATATCATTTTATTCTCAAAATTCTAAGAGGAAACAGGTTAACAGAGGTTTAACATGCTCAAGGTCACGCAGCCAGTGTATAGCAGAATGAGACCAAAACTCCACTTCTCTCTAGATTCGATTAGTTCTACCTGGTTTAAACGATAGAAAGCACAAATATTCCTCCAAGTTGAAGAAATTACTCTTAAGAACTCAACAGAACTTTCTGAAATTTAATATTCCCTTAGCACAGAACTCATTAACAGCTGGATTTAGATACACAGTGAGCTCAATTACATACCTGGACACACAGAATCATCATGAGAAGCCTGATTTAGATTATGAGCTATCATCCTTAACACTTCCAAGAATAGAAAGATGCTCTATTGTACATTACTGTAGATTATTAATTATAAGCTGCTAAAGTCAATAGTCCTGACCAGGTACAGTGGCTCACACCTGTAATCCCAGCACTTTGGAAGGCTGGTGAATCACTTGAGATCAGGAGTTCAAGACCAGCCACAGTCAACATGGTGAAACCGCACCCCTACTAAAAATACAAAAATTAGCTGGGTGTGGTGGTGTGTGCTGGTAATCTCAGCTACTCAGGAGGCTGAGGTGGGAGAATCACTTGAACCAGGAAGGTGGAGGTTGCAGTGAGCTGAGATTGTGCCACTGCATTCCACCCTGGGCAACAACAGAGTGGGACCCTGTCTCAAAAAAATAAAATAAAAAAATAGAGTCAACAGTCCTGTTCCTTGAACGGGTGTGTTAAAAAATTTTTATATTATCAATATTTAGGAGGGAACTCTTCCTCCTTTTCTGTTTAATAATTTGTATAGAAAATGTATTTCAGGACAGGCACTGTGGCTTACACCTGTAATCCCAGCACTTTGGGAGGCCGTGGTGGGTGGATCTTGAGGTCAAGACATCAACACCATCCTGGCCAACATGGTGAAACCTCATCTCTACTGAAAACACAAAAATTAGCTGGGCGTGGTGGAGCACGCCGGTAGTCCCAGCTACTTGGGAGGCTGAGACAGGAGAATCGCTTGAACTTCGGAGGTGGAAGTTGCAGTGAGCTGAGATTGAGCCACTGCATTCTGGCCTGGTGACAGAGGAGTGAGACTGTCTCAAAAAAAAAAAAAAAAAAAAAAAAAAAAAAGAAAGAAAGAAAATGTATTTCAAGTAACCCTTTTTTTCCCCCAGAAAGCTTAACACACAGGTAAGACATTTACCAAAGTGAGTTACCAATGGTTAATTCCAAGTGTCACAAACATAGGGGACCGACAGTTTAAGTTGGTCATCTATTTTTGAAAGATCTTAACACAAAATGTGAAAAGTATAAAGATATTTACAAGTTATTTAAAATAAAACACATTGACATTTATCTATAAATTGTAAAGAAAATGATTTCCTTCTCTGAGTAAACTAAAAAATTGACGTTGATGGTTTCTTAAATAGAAAAGAGCCAAATTACCAATGTAACTTTATGTTTAAGGGCCAAAACAGCTGTTTGTTTTCCTACCAATAAATAAAAAATGGACTCAGACTGAAATAAAGATTATTTTCCCAAGTCTGGATATAAACATGTGGCTTTGGGTGTCAGCATGGTATTCCAAAAATAATAATAATAATAATAAACTTTCTAATAGTGCTGAAAGTACTAAATTAGCTTACTTACCCTTATAACTTTATAAGAGCCAGAATGTATTGTTTCAAAATAACTTGAAAAACGGAAGTGAATACTCAAAGGTAAGTTAGGTAATTTGCCTAAAGCTTCATCAGGAGACTAGGAAGGAGACAGTGAATTAGATCCTTTAGAATGCAGTGTTCTGTCTACTTGCCAAAGAGGAAGGCATCTGGGAGTCTATGACAGCTTCAATAAAATATGTAAAATGACGAATGACTCTGCTGATTAGGTGGAAAGTGAGAGAAAGACAAATGTTTAGGGATGCTAGAATTGCTAGTGGAAATCAGTGGGAAATTAAAAACAAAACAAAAACATATGTAAAGGCTTACTTCTGGTTGTTTCACAAGCATAACATCCATTACAGAATACCTATGGAATGAAAGATTTGTAGTTTTGTTTTTTTTTTCCTTGGAGACAGGGTCTCACTATGTTGCCTAGGCTGAAGTGCAGTAGCACGATCATGGCTCACTGCAGCCTGAAAAATTTAAAAAGATTTTTTGTAGAGACAGGTTCCCACGGTGTTGCCAAGGCTGGTCTTGAACTCCTGGCCTCAAGCGATCTTTCTGCCTTGGCCTCCCAGACTGCTGGGATTATAGGTGTGAGCCTATAATTTGGGAATTAAATTCCCAAAGCTGAAGTCTGGGAACAAGTCACTTACCAGTGAGTGAATCTAGCCAGCTACTGAGCATTTTGTTATTTATTTATTTTTTGAAGATGGAGTCTTGTTCTTGTCGCCCAGGCTGGAGTGCAATGGCACAATTTCGGCTCACTGCAACTTCCACCTCCTGCGTTTCAGCGATTCTCCTGCCTCAGCCTCCTGAGTAGCTGGGATTATAGGTGCCTGTCACCATGCCTAGCTAATTTTTGTATTTTTAGTAAAGATGGGGTTTCACCACGTTGGCCAGGCTGGTCTCAAACTCCTGACCTCAGGTGATCCACCTGCTTCGGCTGCTGTTCCCCTAACAGCAGCAAACTTATCTTTCAACTTACTTTTCCTCACATTACATATATAATTTGGGAGAAGGAACAAAAAAGCGAGGGAAATTGCAATCTCCTAATTGAGGTATAAAAGATAACTTTCCACATTGAATAGTTACAAACACTTAGAAGGCAGAGATACTAACAGCACTGGAAATGGTGATGGAGATCAAATCTCAAAAAGCAGTTTTCTACAGCTTAGTCACACTTGGCTCAATTTTTCACTTTTTGTACTTAAAAGGTATGGCAATTTTTTGGCGCTTTATTTAGTAATCATGTCATTTTGCCTGATAATACAATTTCAGTACACTACTTTCCTTAAATCGTTTCCCTTTGGTGAAACAGAAAAAGCAGAATTGGTCTTTAGGCCTGTGTGCTCAAATCAAATGACCTTTCCCCATTATGGCTATGTTCTTCCAGTGGTCACCTTCCCTTCAATATTCTTTCATGGAGCAAAGTGAGTCTTTACCTTGTATTAGGAACTGTTCCGACACTGGGGAAACCATGTCAACAGGGCCCACATGATCCCTGTCCCTGCCCTCAAAGGGGCAGACAACAAATAAACGAATACAATAATTACACAGGGATCTGGAGCTGTAGAGGGTACTCCATTAAAGTTAGTGGCTGTGGAACTAATTTGAAGAGGATAGTCAGGGAAGGCTACTCTGGGACAGATTTAGGCAGGGGCCCGAAGAAAGACGGATTTGGATAAACAGTACGTTTACGGGAAGTTCAAGAAAGAGGTACCAATTACACTCAAGCTGTGTGTGTGAAGGAGGCGGGATAAAAACATTCATTCCAGGCATAGAGACCATAAAGTGTATCTTGGAGAGGAAAAGTGCGTTGTAGAGGGTTAGGTGGCCAGTGTAGCTGAAGCTTCAGGAGCCAGATAAGAAATGGGATTGTAAACGTGGGTTAAGGACCACATCCTACAGGGCCTTGTAGGCCATGGCAAGGAGTCTAGCTTTTATCCCAATGCCAAGAGAAGCTGTAGGATTACTTCAGACAGCTGAATTACACGATCTGTCTTTTTTGTTAAAAGATCACGCGGGTAAAACGAGACGTGTCGAGGAAAGTTTTAAACGCAGAGAACTTAAGTCAGATGCAAAAATTATGCACTTCTCCGGGCCTCAGGTTTTCCCTAAGTAAAGCCTTGAACTAGAAGCCATTTCCTTCCTCCTGCGATGTGGTGAGTTCTGAGCACCGGCCGCGTCAGATTGACCATGGAATTCCCCTCATCTACGCCAGCGCCCAGAACACAACTGGCGCCCTAAAACTGTTGGTCACCGCAATGAATCAATCAATGCTCTGCTATGGGCGCGGGACCAAGCCCCGGCGGCCGAAAAGAACGCGATGGATCGCGCGGGAGGCCGCGAGGGGCGTCCGGCGAGGACGTAGGGGCCGGCTCCACCACAACCAAGGCGTGCCTCGCAGGGGAACCCGGGCCTCGCAGGTTGAGGGAAGAAAAAAATCGGACTAGGGCCCGACACCGGGAACTAGGAGAGAAGGCCGAAAAGTGGGGCGGAGGAAGAGTTCTGGTTCCAGGCCTGGGGGCCCAGCCACTCACCGCAGCCGTCGCCAGGCTGTGCATGTTGGGAGCGGCCGCCGCTCTCCTTTCGCAGCCGGACGCGCCCGACCCGCGTCCCAGCTTCAGCACCCCTGCCGCCGAAAATAATGAGCCGCCGTAGCAGCCATCCGCCTTTAGCTCGCTCCGCCCCCTTCGCAGCCCTCTGACCTATCACCTCTGACCCCACCCACACATCCTCTTCCCGCCCCCTGGCCCTCGGCCTAGTTAACAGTCCCAGAGTATCTCCTTTGCCCCTTAAGATTTGGGACTGGAAAAACGTCCTCGACAAACTAGTCCCCACAACTCCTAGCTTTGGGCAGGTATTTCCAGAGAGCGGTGTGAACTCTGACCCTTCTCCAGAGGCCAGTGAACGGCGGGAAAAAAATAGACCGTCCCGCGAGGACAACAATTGCGCATGCCCGACTGGGCCGAGTAGGAGGGAAATGATGGGAGGGTCGAAATCGGGTGAAGTGGAAAGTGCGCGTGCGTACTACAGTCAGGGCTGGGGCGGGGCTGACCGGGTTAGGCCGCGCTAGGTGCTGTGGGGGGCGGGACGAGGGCGTATGAGGGGCGGAGTTTTCGCTGGCGCGCACGCGCCTGTGTGGTGGCGTCAAGTGTGCGTGCGTGCGTGCGTGTTTGCGTGTAGTCACAGTTCCCGCCATCAGCCGCTCTCTCTGACTAGGGGTAGGTAGCGGCCTCCCTCTTTTGGGTTTGGTATCCCTACTTTCATTACCCCCGGCTCCTCTCGCTCTCCGCCGTTCCGTGCTTTCCGCAGGTCTGTCCGGGGGCTCCGGACCCTCAGCGCAGGTAAGGAGGGCCGGGGTAGCTTCTCAATTGAGCCGTTTTCCCAGCGCCCCGTCCCTCTGTGCGATCCGCCCACTCGGCGTTCACTCTTCAGGAGTTCGCCCAGCTGCTACTCAGGCCGCCCACAACCCCTGGATGCACCGTCAGCCTCACAGGTACTCCCTTTGGGTGCACTGCCCCGGCTTTCCCCTCTTTTGACTTGGTCTCCGCTGCCATTCACTCCCTCCGAAACTCGAACCTGGCCCCTTTCCCCTGGGGCTGTTGTCGTCAGCCACTTGCCTCTTAGCAAGGCCTGCTGTCTCTTCAGGTGACTGTGACTTTGGTTGCCGCACATCCCCCAGGCTTTGGATATGATACTCATTCACCCTCTTAACCATGTTCACTTTCCTCTTGACCAGTCCTCACTGCAAAACATGAGTTGTATTCTTGTTGTGTATTTCCTTGCGCCCATTTCTAGCTATCAGATCAGGTTGTTAGATTTAACTATTTAAAGTCATAATCTGTAAAGGAAATGATTGATGACAAAGTCGTGTGTCCTGGAGAGTTGTCCTAAATTGGTTTTGGGGGTAGTCCTCTCAAAATTTCAGCTCTGTATAAATTCCTTTATTGAGGTGGCAATTCCTGACAAGTTTAGGAAGAGTCATCTGAGAGGGAATGTCAAGTAGGTAGTTGGATATAGTGGGTGAGCTCTTAAGAGAGTTCTGAGCTGGATACGTAAATGTGTGTCGGGGTGTATATGTCATCTGCCATGTTGATAATAATTGAAGCCACGGATGTGGATGAAATAGCCTAAAAAGAGTATAGTGCTGTAAAATAAAGGCACCTAGGATGGAGCGTTGAGGGATTCCTGACGTTTAATGGAGGATGCGTCTTGTAAGAGCTAAAAGAAGTCGTCAATAGTGTTGCATTCTGCTGAAAGGTAAAATGGAAGAACAAAAAACCAAATAACGTAAAAGTGATCACTTGTCTTAAAGATGTTTGATAAAGTAAAATGAGTATTTGGGTTCAGTGCTAGGTCCTTTTCTTTTACTCTTATATTCCTCTTTAAGCTTTAAATTCTGTCTATATTGATGACTTAAAAATTGTTATTTTCAGCCTATTCCCTTTGTTTTCAGCTCCACATCTAATAGCCAGCTCTCTGCTTGATATTTCAACTTGATTTTTTTTCCTTAGGAGTTTCTAATGTAACACAACCAAATCCAGAGTCTTGATCTTTCTCTCCATACCCCAATTTTTTCTTCTTCAGTGTCTCATTTTATTAAGTGGCATATTACACAGGCTACAAATTTGGGAGGCATTCTTGGTTTCTACCCTCTCCAAGTTCTTTCTACTCTACTTCCGTTATGTGTCTTGCATCTTTTTCTATACCTTTTCCTATCACTTTTCTAGTTTAAGCCACAGTCCTTTTTTACCTGGACTTGATTGCCTTGGCTTCTGGTATTATCATCTGCAAAATGGAAATAGTAATTTTCAGCTGATTGAATTTTTACAAGGATTAAATGAGATAAATGTGATAAGCACTTGGCACAGACTAAATGGCCAGTAAACATTAATTGTTACTGCAGTCGTTATAAGCTTATTGGCTTCAATAGTCTTCTATCTGGTTACCTTATTTCCTTCTATTCTTGCTCTTAGTCACGCTTCTCCCAAAACCCAAACCGTATGACTTCTCCTTTCAGCAGTAACATATTACTTTGCTTAAAAAGCCTTTTGGTGGATTTCTCCCTGCTAAGTGCTATTACATTTAGAATAAAATTCAGTGTCCTTACTGTGGTTCACAAGACTGTAGAACCTGGTTCTTAACTGCTTCACTAACTTTGTCTTCCTCCTCTCTTTCACTAAACTTTAGCCACATTGCTTTTAATTTCCTTAGTTACATTGTTACTGTACTATTCAAGGCCGTTGGGCACGCCGTTTGCCTGAATTGTTCCAGTTCTGCAGTTTTCAACTTAAGTGATACATTCTCAGAGAAGCCTTCTTGATGTTCTCTATCCTCTCTCCCTTGTCTTAATCTTAAATCTCATCATTCCGTGTACCTTGCTTTATTCATTTTTCAGAACTTGTAATTATTATTATTTTTTGAGACAGGATTTTTGCTCTGTTGCCCAGGCTGGAGTGCAATGGCATGATCTCAGCTCACTGCAACCTCCGCCTCCTGGGTTCAAGTGATTCTCCTGCCTCAGCCTTCCAAGTACCCGGGATTACAGGCACCTGCCAACATGCCTGGCTAATTTTTGTATTTCTAGTAGAGACAAGGTTCACCATGTTGCCATGCTGGTTTCGAACTCAGGCTTGTCTGAGAAGGTATCACTTAAGTTGAAAACTACAAGATCGCCTCAGGACAATCCACCTTCCTCGGCCTCCCAAAGTGCTAGGATTACGGGTGTGAGCCACCGAGCCCAGCCTAGAACTTGTAATTATATATTTGCATGTGTAGTTATTTAAAGCCTGTCTTCTATTAGAATATAAACTAGTGACCATTTTTATTTATCAATAATTTGTTAAATAAACTGGAACTTGCTATAAGAACCACATGTCTTTGGAAGCACAAGCTCTCTGATATTCTTGTCATCTCATGACAGACACTTTTGTTCTGAAAAGTTAGAGGACACGTGAGAAAAAAAGAGTTTTCCAGCATTGGATACTTTTACCCATTCTTATGTCATAAAACCATTCAGATTCTACACTATTTGAATTGACTTTAGGTCAGCTTTCCACTTTCAGTAACAAAACTAATTTGATCTCCTTTGTACATTTGTTTTTTGTTTTATGGATCTTTTATAAGGAAAGAAAGCCTTCAAAAATCAGAGTAGTGGTTTGTATATTTTCACAACAGGTTAATCTTTAAGATCAGTAAAGATGAGATTTCCATAAATAAAGCAAAATTCTGATTGGGCTTTATTTGGGTGGCTCACCTCTGTAATCCCAGCACTTTGGGAGGCCAAGGTGGACGGATCATGAGGTCAGGAGACAAGGCTAGCGATGGGTGAAACCCCATCACTACTAATAGTCCAAAAAATCAGCCGAGCGCGGTGGCACACACCTGTAATCTCAGCTACTCTGGAGGCTGAGGCAGGAGAATCGCTTGAACCTGCAAGGCAGAGGTTGCAGTGAGCGGAGATCGTGCCACTGCACTCCAGCCTGGGGTGGCAGAGCAAGAGTCTGTCTCAAAAAAAAAAAGAAAAATTGATGATTCGTGTATGGCATTTAGCACTGTGCTTAGTAAATGTTGCATAATAAATATTGGGTTGCATAATAAATACTAGGTGGGATGATGACATAGTGATGAGTTTCTGAATTAGAGTAGTAGCTATGAAAAATCTGGGATTTGAGTAAATGAGAGTGAGGTTAAGCTGGTGCTAAGATTTCTTGCCTGAATGATGGTAGAAGGACAAAAGTAGGGAAGTCTAGGAGCTTCCTTTTTTTTTCTTTTGAGATGGAGTCTTGCTCCATCACCGAGGCTGGAGTGTAGTGGTATGATCTCAGCTCATTGCAACCTCTGCCTCCTAGGTTTAAAGGATTCTCCTGCCTCAACCTGCCAAGTAGCTGGGACTACAGGTGCGTGTTACCACACTGGGCTAAATTTTGTATTTTTAGTAGAAGTGGGGTTTCACCACATTGGCAGGCTGGTCCTGAACTCCTGACCTCAGGTGATGCACCTGTCTTGGCCTCCCACAGCGGTGGGATTACAGGTGTGAGCCACTGTGCCTGGCTTCTAGGAGCTTCTAAATGAGGGCGTGGCTATATCATCTTCACATCTATATGCCTACCCGAGTACCTTGAAAGCGGAGTAGCTTAATAAATGATTGTTTGCTAAATGAACAAAGAAGTTTAAAGTTGATGTTGTGGCATTCAAATAGGCAGTGAGAGATGTGCAGGTAGAACTTCTGCAGGTGGAAAGTTCAGGCTTAGTGAGGCCTAATTAGAGAGTTTAGTTTTGAAAGAAAAGTGAAAGCACCAAGTTTACCCACCTTTTGAAATAGTATTAACCTTATGGAAGTGGAGTTTTTAAGACTTAAAGCATTATTATGTAACAAGGTTTATAAAGTGAACAAAGAGCATATTCTTTGTCACTGACTTCTTGGTTTCAAAATGTAGCAAGAATGATTAAGCCGGCCGGGCGCGGTGGCTCAAGCCTGTAATCCCAGCACTTTGGGAGGCCGAGGCGGGTGGATCACGAGGTCAAGAGATCGAGACCATCCTGGTAAACATGGTGAAACCCCGTCTCTACTAACAATCCAAAAAAATTAGCTGGGCATGGTGGCGCGTGCCTGTAATCCCAGCTACTCAGGAGGCTGAGGCAGGAGAATTGCCTGAACCCAGGAGGTGGAGGTTGCGGTGAGCCGAGATCACACCATTGCACTCCAGGCCTGGGTAACAAGAGCGAAACTCTGTCTCAAAAAAAAAAAAAAAAGAATGATTAAGCCAAGATACAAGTTGAACAAGGTGCAGGCTCATCCTGTATCCTTCATTATGTACCGCAGATAAGTTCCTAAAGTTCTGTTGATCACGTATGTGTGTGTCTGTGTTATGCATCGTATTTTAAATGTTTTCATTAAGGTAATCTGAGGTTTTTAAATAACCAAGAAGTTAATCTTTGTGGTATAAATGATCGCTTTTCTTTTCTTTCTTTCTTTTTTTTTTTAATGAGATGGAGTTTAGCTTTTGTTGCCCAGACTGGAATGCAGTGGCGCGATCTCGGCTCACCCCAACCTCTGTCCCCTGGGTTCAGGCAATTCTCCTGCCTCAGCCTCCCGAGTAGCTGGGATTACAGGCATGCGCCACCATGTCCGGCTTATTTTATATTTTTATTTTTATTTTTAAGTACAATTTCCATATTATTTTTCTCCAGAGAATAGTCTGTCTTCAGTCTTTAAGGACTCAGTTCCTTACATGGGTTTTGGTGGGGGTCGTGGGGCAGCACTTGAAGGGGTTTGGGTCCTTGTGGGCTTCATGAGATCAATTCTTGACTACTTTGCTATGAATTGCACAACTCACACAGGCTGGTCTCGAACTCCCAACCTCACACAGTAATGCAGCTTCACATATAGCTTGGAAAGTACATAGGCATCGAAGACACTCGCTTCAGAAAGTCCCTGACTGCTGCAGCCTCCAGTATGTTTCGAATGAGGAATTTCTTAATGGCCTTGTCCTTGGGCACGCATTGGGCACAGTTTGTGCAGCCAATAGGCTGCACGTGGCTGTGGCCCTTTTTGGCATGACCGTTGTTCCTTTTCTTTGTCACCTTGGAGTCACAGACTGGAGAGAGCTAATTTTGTATTTTTAGTAGAGACAGGGTTTCTCCATGTTGATCAGGCTGGTCTCGAACTCCAAACCTCAGGATATCTGCTCACTTCGACCTCCCAAAGTGCTGGGTTTACAGGCGTGAGCCACTGCTCCTGGCCCACTTTCCTTTTTTTTTTTTTTTTTTTTAAGTATTTTGTATATTGGATTCTTTTTAAAAAGCACATTTTTATTTTCTTTAGCTGAGTTGATGGCTTCTGGAGAACTGGCATAGCTGCAGAATATGAGTAGTGTCCCAAGAAGAGTGCTTTGCCTTTGGCACAAGGATCAGAATAAAGGTGAATTGCTATTACATAGGGTTTTTCGATAAAAGTCACTGAAAAGTAAGTAATGTTTTTGTTTTGGGTATATGTTTCAGAGAATATGCAATCTCGCAAGAATTGATAGTTTTCTCTGTTTATTTTGTAGTAATAGTTTTGTGATTTGGTCATGCTTTCATTACCACAGAATGCTCTCTCTGGGTTAAGTATGTTTTCAAAGCAGTACCTAAAATGTGAGCACTTAAATAAATGTACAGGGCACAGAAACATTTTTGCCAATATTATTGTTTGCGCTTTCGTGGAATGCTTAAAGTTGAAAAGTAATTTTAATAGTTATGAAGAAATTTAGAGAAAGAATCTCTTTAGACATGTTTAAAGAATAATTCATTTTAATTACGTTTTGTCTTCTCAATTATTTGCTTTAATAAGAGAATTAGCATTACCGAGTTTAAGGAAACCTTGTCTTTGTCTTAGGTTTATAGAAAGTTTTTTTTTTTTTTTCTTTTTTTTGAGACGGAGTTTCGCTCTTGTTACCCAGGCTGGAGTGCAATGGCACGATCTCGGCTCACGGCAACCTCCGCCTCCTGGGTTCAGGCAATTCTCCTGCCTCAGCCTCCTGAGTAGCTGGGATTACAGGCACGTGCCACCATGCCCAGCTAATTTTTTGTATTTTTAGTAGAGACGGGGTTTCACCATGTTGACCAGGATGGTCTTGATCTCTCGACCTCGTGATCCACCCGCCTCGGCCTCCCAAAGTGCTGGGATTACAAGCTTGAGCCACTACGCCCGGCCGGTTTATAGAAAGTTTAACTGTTACTGGATCATGCTTCATGATGAAAAAGAAACTTAGTTTTTTACTCTTAACCAAGTAGGGCAAGCCCTAATAATATAATGAATGAACAAATGTAGCTATCAATTCATTTAGTGCAAAAGCAGGTAATAGAAGAGTCAGTGTGGGGGGAAAAAAAGCAGATAATGAACTAAATTGAGGCATTAAGAAAAATTTTTATTATATTGCTTCTGCTAATTTTATGCCCTGCATCATTTATATAAGGCTTTTTAAAAAGGGTAGTGTCTAAGTTGAGTCTTGATTTTAGAGCCAGGAGAAGAAATTAAGGAGGGTTGGGGATGGGGAGAATACATAAAAATTCTCTAGACATGGCCGGGTGTGGTGGCTCACACCTGTAATCCAAGCACTTTGGAGGCCAAGGCGGGCGGATCACGTGAGGTCGGGAGTTCAAGACCAGCCTGACCAACATGGTGAAACCCCATCTTAAAAAAAAAAAAAAAAAATCCTCCAGATATGATCCCTGTGGGTGCAAAGGTAAAGTGGCATGAGAACATACAGATTTTTGATGCAGTTGTAAGTAATTCAGAAGGCTGGATTGGGAGTTTTATTGGGAAGAGAGAGGTAAGCAGGGCCTGGGTCATAAAGGGTCTGTGTGTCATGTTAGTGACTTTAGATTTTATTGCATGGACAGTGGAGAGTTATTGAATGATATTAAGCAAGAGAGGGATTTGCTTTGATCTGCAGTTCATTATAAAGCTGTCTGAAAGGTGGATGGAGGTAGAATTTGTTTGTTTTTTTGACATGGAGTCTCACTGTCGCCCAGGCCTGAGTACAGTGGTGTGATCTCGGCTCACTGCAGCCTCTGCCTCCTGGGTTCCAGTGATTCTCCTGCCTCAGCCTCCCAAGTTGCTGGAATTACAGGCATACACCACCACACTGACTGATTTTTGTATGTTTAGTAGAGACGGGGTTTCACCATGTTGGCCAGGCTGATCTTGAACTCCTAACTTCGGATGATCCGCCCGCTTTGGCCTCTCAAAGTGTTGGGCGCCCAGTCTGTGGAGGTAGAATTGATGGGACTGTCTTGACTTTCCATCTCTAATCCAATACCAATAATTATCAAGAAAGAAGCTAAAGACAACTCTCCTATTTCTGGCATGGGAAACTGGAGTAGGAGAGTGATGTATTCTTTGCAGCACTGAATGTCAGAATGGAAAAAAGTCTTAAGGATGTATCCAACAATGAAGTCACAAATTATAATTGCAGAAAAAATATTACAGATATACCTTGCTGGCCTAAGTTTCTATAGCTCTGTAGTGTTACTAGTTTGAGCAAAATGCAAAATGTCATGTTAACAGACAGTTCTATAAACATTAATGGACTCTATTACTTCGATGAATTCATATTACCCAGCAAATTATACTAATATTTAAATCTGGCCACAGTAGGCACATAAAAATTTTCGATGAGATGAGTGAATGATAATAAAGTACTTACAATACTTAACACCTTTAAACTCTTGAAAGTGTTTTCATATCTCTTCTTTTATCTTCAGTTATTTGCCGTACAGTAACCAAGGCTTCCAACTAGGGGCCCCCAAACTGTATCCTGCCTGTAGGTGAGTTTTATTTGATTTGTAGCTGTTAAAAATAAATTTGAGTTCATTGCCAACAATTAAAAATGGACATAAAGATTTGGAAGTCTTTATTTTCTTCAAAAGTTAGATGGTCTGGTAATGCTAGGTTCACTATTTCTGCATGGTAATAATTGGCCAGATAGGGTAGCAGTTGCTCATATTTTGCCTGTTTAAGTCATTTCTGTCACCTGCCATCTCCTATAGATCGCTGAGTTAGTGACTCCTGTTAACGTTGTATTTATTGAGGTCTTCGGAGAAAGAGGTATTATAGACATGGAATAAATTCAGAAAACAGATATTAATTCCATTAATATTAATAACTGCTCTATGCTGAGTACCTAGTGTATGTTATTTCATTCTGCAACACTACAGGATTTGCTATTCCTGTTTCGTGATTGAGAAAACTTATGGTTAGAGAAGGTAAGTTACACATTAGTAAGTGATAGCGCTGGCTGGCTGCTGATTTCTAGAGCTAGCGTCATTTTCCTTTATATACTTCGCTTTCTAGCTTTTTTAGTTCAGTTGTTTAGGCAAAGATAATGTTTAATCGTGATCAAATTATAAGCAAGAATCTATTTTAGAAGTAGTGTTTTTAAAGGTTTGAAATAGTATAAATAAAATTTGATTTATTTTAGATGATTGCATATTTATGGATAGAACACTGATAACATTGTGTGCTATAACTGTGATTTTATTTACTTGCTGACTTTTACAAAAGCTAATTTGAAGAGTTTTACACATCGTATTATTGCTGTAGGTTTAAGTTTTTTGTGTTTTTTTTTTGTTTGTTTTGAGGCAGAGTCTCACTCTGTCACCTAGGCTGGAGTTGAGTGGCATGATCATTGCTCACTGCAGCCTTGACTTCTCTGGCTGAGGTGTTCCTCCCATGTCAGCCTCTGGAGTAGTTGGGGCTATAGGCACACATGACCATGCCAGGCTAATTTTTTGGTATTTTTTGTACAAATGAGGTTTTTGCTACGTTGCTCAAGCAGTTCGCCCACCTTGTCTTTCCAAAGTGCTGGGACTAGAGGCATGACCCACTGCATCCGGCATTTTTTCTTTTTAGCTTTCAAATACTGCCTGACAAGCACCTAGCCATTTTTAGGTATTAAAAGTTCATTCAGAAAACAGTATTTGCCAAAGATAAAATTGCTAAAGATTCTTTCTAGGAATGGTTATGTTAAGTATAAATTGTAGGTGGTTCTTCAGAAGAGAAGCTGTTTGTTTTCTTTAGAGAAATGATTTTCTCAAATATTATAATTCTAGAGATTGAACTAATTTGGTTATTTTTAAAATTTCTTACTCATTTAATGTCTTCTGTACATACGAACATGCTTAGATTGCTCACTGTTAGAAGGAAGCGTTAGGTGATATACTTTGGTGTTTTGGGAGGGACTCCAAAGAAATGGAGTCAGAGGCCTGAATTTTGTTTTGTTTTGTTTTGTTTTGTCTTGACACAGGGTCTTCACTCTGTTGCCTAGTCTAGAGTGCAGTGGCATAATCATGGCTCACTGCAGCCTTGACCTCCCAGGCTCAGGTGATCCTCCCATCTCAGCCCCTCCGGAAGCTGAGACCATAGGTGTGTGTCACCACGCCTGCCTAATTATTTTTTTTTTTAGTTTTTTGTAGGGATAGAGCCTCCTTATGTTGCCCAGGTTGGCCTCAAATTCCTGAGCTTAAGCAGTCCTCCCACCTCAGCCTCCCAAAGTGCTAGGATTACAGGTGTGAGCCGCCATGCCTAGCCTGAACTTACTTTTTTTTTTTTTTAAACTTATATTTTGGAAATCCAGATCCATTAGCTTTCATGAAGGAAGAGAATAATCAACACTTTAATGGTGAAGGCAGTCACTTTGAGAATGGGGTCTTATTCCTATTGACATGTCTTCAGTGGCAGCAGTGTGGTTGTGAATGGTGTAAAATGTAGAATTTATACTCTTAATAAACACAGGTACTGGACACATAGCAAAGAAGGGAAGATGAAGACATAGAAGAAATGCAAGATAGTTAGAAATTACTTTAATTACTAGTAACTTATAACTTATTTTATTTTTCTTCTTAGAACGTGCCAGGCGAAGGTGTATTTTTGCTTTTTGGCTAGAAGCAATTTATTTTTAAAGAAAATATGTCTCCTCTGAAGATACATGGTCCTGTCAGAATTCGAAGTATGCAGACTGGGATTACAAAGTGGAAAGAAGGATCCTTTGAAATTGTGGAAAAAGAAAATAAAGTCAGCCTAGTAGTTCACTACAATACCGGAGGAATTCCGAGGGTATTTCAGGTATTACCAAATATTGATTTGGAATAGCTCTTGAAGCAGATCATTTAGTAAGTTGCTATTTGGTGCCATAGTAAACATCACAGTAGCCCTCCTCCTAATGTTTCTTGCTTCTCATTTCTAGGACATCAATATTTTTTTTTCTTTGAGATGGAGTTTCACTCTTGTTACCCAGGCTGGAGTGCAATGGTGCAATCTCGGCTCACTGCAACCTCCTCCTCCTGGGTTCAGGCAATTCTCCTGCCTCAGCCTCCTGAGTAGCTGGGATTACAGGCACGCGCCACCATGCCCAGCTAATTTTTTGTATTTTTAGTAGAGACGGGGTTTCACCATGTTTACCAGGATGGTCTCGATCTCTTGACCTCGTGATCCACCCGCCTCGGCCTCCCAAAGTGCTGGGATTACAGGCGTGAGCCACTGCGCCTGGCAACGTTAATATTTTTTAATATACATGTTTTATAAATTATTCAACAGCCTCGTTATTGGTATATAATAAAAGCAGAAGTAGTCACAATTATTGAAAAGAAAACTTGTGAGAGGAAGCTGACAAGAGTTTGGATCCTGTATATCTAAGCTATTTTTAAAACCACATTAAGATAACTTTAGTTAATCCTTTTTTTCCCCTTAACATATATGATGATGGTTTCATCACTATTTAGTGTTAGCTTTTAACAGAATTTATTAGTGTCTTCTAAAAGCCAGTGTCTACTTCCTGAATAATCCTGCCAAATGTCATGGTATGAATAATTCAAGGATGATTATTCAAGGTTATCTTTACAGCCATTTTCTTCTAACTGTAAAGTTTTGAAGAATCTTCATTTTATCACTGTAAAACTTAATTTTGTTCAGTTCTTTTTTTTTTTCTTTTTTGAGACAGTCTCCCTGTGTTATCCAGGCGGGATCCAGTGATGTGACGATCTTGGCTCACTACAACCTCTGCCTCCTGGGTTCAAGCAATTCTCCTGCCTCAACCTCCTGAGTAGCTGGGATTATAGGGGCATGCCACTGCTAATTTTTTTTTTTTTTTTTTTTTTTGTAATTTTAGTAAAAAGGGTTTCACCATGTTGGTCAAGCTGGTCTCAAACTCCTGACCTCGTGATCTGCCCACCTCAGCCTCCAAAAGTGTGGGGATTACAGGCATGAGCCACTGCACCTGGCTGACAAAAGTCACTTTTCTCTAGTTTTAAAAAAATTTTGAAGTATTTATTAGTTCTTTGTTTATACTTTTCAGAGGGCATGTCTTCAGTAAAAGGCAGCTTTAGAAACCTTTATGTATGCCTGCTGAGAGCATTAAGAGAATAAAGATGCCTGACTGGCTGGAATTATTTAGATAATGAAGAAACCGTAAGATTTAATAATTTAGCCTTGGAAAAATTTCATTTAAGAGAAAATAGAAGTTATCATAGCACATTTCCAAAATGTGATAGAGTCTAAGATGAATTATTGAACCAGTTCTGTGGAGAGACAAGTAAGTTAAGAGTTTCCAGGTATATACAGTCTTCGAATGAAATTTAAGTGAGTTTTCTTAGTTAAAAAAAAAGTGTGCTATATTGCAAAAGTTTATTTTTGATACGTTTTTGAAAGTTTGGAATTCTTTTGAGGATTATTTAGTTGCTTGGATTAATATCTTCTTTTATATTGGTAGCTACCTAAATAATTTGCCAAATGTCTTATAAACTTTTGTTTTACAAAAGAAAAAGATTCTACTCCAGTTTTTTCTTTTTTGAGACAAAGTTTTGCCCTGTCACCCAGGCTGGAGTTCAGTGGCATGATGTCCGCTCACTGCACCTTCCACCCCCGGGTTCTAGCGATTCTCCTGCCTCAGCCTCCCGAGTAGCTGGGACTACAGGTGCGCCCCACTACACCTGGCTGCTTTCTGTCTTTTTGGTAGAGACAGGGTTTTGCCATGTTGGCCAGTCTGACCTTGAACTCCTGACCTCAGCTGATTCGCCTGCCTTGGCCTCCCAAAGTGCTGGGATTACAGGCATATGCCACCGTGTCCGGCCTTCTGCTCCAATTTGGTTTTCTAAACTGGTGATAATGTAACCATCCAAGGCTCTGAAATTGGTTAACTCAGTAGTTTTTATCCCCTATAACTATATTTGAAAATAAGAGATTCACTACCATGAGATCAAGAGTTCTAGGATTTCTCCATAAAATTAATTTTAATAGAAGAATAAGTCCACATTTCGTATTGCCAGTTGGTTCTTGAAAACTGTGACTTGAAGCGAAACTATGGATAATGAAACAAGTTTTTTTTTCCACATCAACATTATAATGAAGGAAATAATGTTATATGAGGACCTGCTATATGTCCTTTTGCTTAATGTTTGTAACATATTAAAAACATCAGAAAATGAAGGAGTAGCAGTGCTACCTTTAATCAGTATCTCTATCTGACATAGCATTCTTGTAAAAAAGTTTTCGTGGTTCTTTGCCATTTAGTACCAAAAACCTATTGACAACATTGATTAAGGGATTAAAAAAAAAAATCTTTATTTTTTCTTCTCTGTTACCCTTGGTGTAAGATCTCTGTATAATTAAGGGCTTACTGCATTTGTTTGTATCTCCTAAAAGGTAAATCTTCAAATGTATCAAGAAATGGGATCTTCTTTTGGTTGAAAAAAATTAAATTACTGTGGGGAAGAGTGATAAATGTAACTTGAAAGATACAAAGTTTAGTATTTATTATACTGATTATTAACTTAGTTGTTATACATTTTTGATGATAATTTTCCTTTTGTCTTGATTAGCTAAGTCATAACATTAAAAATGTGGTGCTTCGACCCAGTGGAGCAAAACAAAGCCGCCTAATGTTAACTCTACAAGATAACAGCTTCTTGTCTATTGACAAAGTACCAAGTAAAGATGCAGAGGAAATGAGATTGTTTCTAGATGCAGTCCATCAAAACAGACTTAATGGAGGTGAGTACTAATCACCCCAGGGTCTAATGTTAGTAGCTTTACAAGGGTATGACTAGACTACAGACCAGTATTCAACTGAATTCATCAGCACATTAAAGGGATCATATACCATGAGCAAGCAGGATTTATTCCTGAAATTCAAAGATAGTTCAACATACGAAAATCAGTCTATATAATACATCATTTTTGACAGAATGAAGAATGAATACCACATGATCATCTGAATTGTTGCAGATGAAAACATTTGACAAAGTCCAACACTCTTTCATGATCAAAATACTCAACAAACTAGGAGGAGAAGGAAATTACTCAGCATACTAAACGTCATATGCAAAAACCTACAGCTAACATCATACTTAGGGTGAAAAATTGGAAATGTTTCCTCTGAGATCATTAGCAAGGCAGGAATACCTGCTTTTGCCATGTCTATTTAACATAGTACTGGAAATCTCAGCCAGAGCTGTTAGGCAAGAAAAGGAAATAACAGGCATCGAAATTGGATAGGAAGAAGTAAAATTACTTTTGTTTGCAGGTGACTTAATCTTATATGTAGAAACCCCTAAAGGTTCCACAAAAGAATATGACCAGAAAAAGGAGCAGGAATTTTTTTTTTTTTTTTTTTTAAGATGGAGTCTCACTCTGATACTCAGGCTGGAGTGCAGTGGTTTGGTCTCAGCTCACTGCAACCTCCCACCAGGGAGAAAGATTTAAATTACGGTTGGGAAAAGTTACCTTGTTGCATAAATCTTAGATACTTGCCTATCTATATGAAAATTATTCTGAAGTTTTATTCTTGCTGTGGGAACTGAGTCCTGTAAAAAAAAAAAAATCACATAGTATGATCAGGTTCCTTTGCCCCTTCTAATCCCTTTCATTTAAAATCCTTTTTTTTTTTAATGCATTTATGGGCACTCCCCCAACCCCCACCCCCCGCCTGTCTTACTGTCTTTCTTTTTTTAATAACAGTGTCTAACTCTGTCACCCAGGCTGAAGTGCAGTGGCAAGATTCCACCATGTTGCCCAGGCTGGTATCAAACTCCTGGGCCCAAGCAATTGTCCTGCCTCAGCCTCCCAGAGCACTGGGATTACAGGTGTGAGCCACTGCCTGGCCCTACAGCCATCTTTTTAGGAAATAATCTGTTGCTTAAAAAGAGTTCTTCACTCTTATGTTAGTCTCTAGCTCTGTCATCTTCAACATTTTACTATTATTTATAGCTGACAAACTTACCTGAATTTTTTCAACTTAAATATGACACATTAAAAATATCAGAAAATGAAGGCATAGGAATGCTGCCTTTAATTAATAACTCCATTCAACACCATATTCTTGTAAAGTAAAAACTTTTTGTGGTTATTTGCCATTTAGTACCTACTCGTTCTGTGTTCATGCCACCAGATTGGAGCTATATCAATTTACTAAACTATTGAATTTTAGAATCAAGAAATTGAATACTATTTAAAATTCTTAGAATATGTGAGAGACTAGTTTATAACTCTGTTTTAGTTTTATTCCACCATACCCATATTAGTGGGATCACTGTCTCAATAATTGATATGTGTAAGAAAAGCATGTCTTCAAATACATTGGAGTGGAAAGATATATCCTGTCTGGGGACCCAATTTTGAACAACATAGCATAATGAAAAAATATGTGCTTTGAACCTAAATAGTTTCTGGTTGGAATTCTAGCTCTGCTTGTTATTTCCTATGTAGTTTTAGGTAAGTCATGTAACGACTGAGTTTTACTTTTCTAATCTCTAACATGAAAGTATCGCTGGGCGCGGTGGCTCAAGCCTGTAATCCCAGCACTTTGGGAGGCTGAGGTGGGTGGATCACGAGGTCAAGAGATCGAGACCATCCCGGTCAACATAGTGAAACCCTGTCTCTACTAAAAATACAAAAAACTAGCTGGGCATGGTGGCGCGTGCCTGTAATCCCAGCTACTCAGGAGGCTGAGGCAGGAGAATTGCCTGAACCCAGGAGGCGGAGGTTGCGGTGAGCCGAGATCGCGCCATTGCACTCCAGCCTGGGTAACGAGTGAAACTCCATCTCAAAAAAAAAAAAAAAAAAAAAGAAAGTATCGCCTTGATTTCAGGGCTCCTTAAAGAATGAGAGCTCATAAATGTAAAGTGTGACTTCCCTATGCTAGGCATTCAGTAAGTCATTGGTGTTATTAGAATAGCTAGCTGTGGACTTAACTCTTAATTCATTCTGTGATCTTGGGCAAGTCATTTTAATCTCAGGTTTAGTTGCTTTAGCTGCCCAAAGGTGATACTATGTACTTTGCAGAGACTAAAGTAAAATAATGAGTATAAAACAAGTAAATAGTATGAAGCATTTAATATGTGTGACATTTCAAATGAGTGGACAAAAGACTAATATTTGATAAACAGTGTTGTCTATAAACAAGACAACCAACTATTTAGGAAGATAATAAACTTGGATCCTTATCTCTTTTTATTTCACAGTGACCAAAGATTTGAATGTTAAAAAAAAAAATGATAAAGAGTACAGTATCGTAAAAATACTTTTAACATAATCTCTGGATGGAAAAGACTTCTCTGGATATTACATAAAAACTAGAATTAATAAAGGAAAAAGATGGAAAACTTGTGTTAAAAAATTAGTCTCTCTGGCAAGGAACAGAAGACAAAGGAAGAAAATAGTAGCCAGAGTGACAAAGTTAATATTGCTAATATATTATAAAAAGATCTATTTTGCAAATCAATAAAAAAACAGAAATCAACAAAAACTGCAAATAGAGAATTCAGGAAGTAAAATAGATGGCCCTTGCATATGAAAAAATTCTCGACTTCACCAAACTCAAAATTCCTGCTACCGCATTGGCAGCAGTGTGAGGGGAAACAAGATTCTCTGATATACTTTGTAGGAGCATAGAAGTTTGTTTTTTTTTTTTGAGGGCTATGTAATAATGTCAGTTTAGTAAAATTGTATGTCCTTTAACTCAGTAATTCTTATTATAAGGAGTTTATCCTCCAAAAAGATTTGTGAAAGAATGTTACGTGTTGATTGCAACTTTGAAAAATGAAAACATTCCAAAATGGGAAATTGGCTAACCAAATTAAAGTATAAAATATTTTTTAAAGTATATACTAATTTTTATTTATACAATACCTCAAATGTTCTTTGAACTACCATTAATTTCTTTGGGATAGAAACCATTTATTCTGCTGGATAAACTTACTTGTAGAAAATGTTTTGAAGTATATATATGTTATTGGAGATAAACCTATCACTGTTTCTGACATCCAGTGTCAATGTTCATGTTGTCAATACATAATAACAACTTTTCCATAGTGTTATTAATATAATTACCAAATGTTTATTCTAGCTTTGTAACTTTTATCCTTCTATGAAATGTTTTCAGCTGTGTGTGTTATTTAATTTTTTTTTTTTTTTTTTTTTTTGAGACGGAGTTTCGCTCGTTACCCAGGCTGGAGTGCAATGGCGCGATCTCGGCTCACCGCAACCTCCGCCTCCTGGGTTCAGGCAATTCTCCTGCCTCAGCCTCCTGAGTAGCTGGGATTACAGGCACGCGCCACCATGCCCAGCTAATTTTTTGTATTTTTGGTAGAGACGGGGTTTCACCATGTTGACCAGGATGGTCTTGATCTCTTGACCTCGTGATCCACCCGCCTCGGCCTCCCAAGGTGCTGGGATTACAGGCTTGAGCCACCGCACCCGGCCGTTATTTAATTTTTTGTTTGAGATTCTAGCTGTAAGTTTTAGTTACTGTGTATATCAGATATATATTCTGTCAGAAAGTATTGGTTGATAGGCATTTTGATTTGTTTTTTTTTTTTCCTGCTGTTTCTCCCATTTCTTGAATACTATGTAAAAATAATAATAAATCTTTTTGTTAAAGTGAGTGATTTGGGGATTTTAAAAAATGGTTTTTTTGGTCACCAGCCATGAAACCTTCTCAGGGGTCTGGTAGTTTCGGAGCCATTCTGGGCAGCAGGACCTCACAGAAAGAAATCAGCAGGCAGCTTTCTTATTCAGACAATCAGGTATGTTTATTTGAATCTTTTTAGCTTTTTAAAAACGCGATAGTCATAGACTATCAAGGACATTTTCTACATACCTGAAATATATCATTTTCGTAATCTCAAACCATAGAGTAAGAGAAACTTTGAAGCTCTTCTGTAAGTAAATTTATGAATTTTCTTTGGCTATGCAAAGAGGTAATTAGCCCATTTATTAGACTAAGCAATAAACAAGATTTCATTTTTATCAGGTTCTTTTTATAGGTTAGATTTTTGGGTGGACATTTTTATTGACGTGTAATCGACATGCATTAAGTTGTATATATTTAAAGTATAATTTGATGTATTTTGACATACATTTATATCCTTAAAATCATCACCATAATCAACATGGTGGTTATGTTATATCTAGTAACATATATAACCTGTCTGTGTTACTAGATACAACATAACCACCATGTTATGTTTACTCTTAATTTTCTCTTGACTTAATTATTATTTAATTAATAATTAAATAATTAATAATTAAATATGACTATTCTGTTGGCATTTAAGTTGTGGCAACCAAATGTCACTGTCACTTTTTCTTAACTTATCATAATCATAACCATAACCATAACTCTTAAGTTTTCTCATCCTCTTTAGTAATCCTTCCTTCTGATCCCCATCCAGAAGCAACCACTGATATGTTTTCTATCACTATAGATGAGGTTGTATTTTCTGGAGTTCTATATAAATGGAATGAGTGTGTAATTTTGGGAGGGCAGGGTCTGGTTTCCCTCAGTGAGCGTAATTATTTTGAGATTCATACATTCCTTGGTAGAAATTTAAATTGTTGAAATATTATTTAAATGCATTAAGTGTTAACACATATAGCAGAAGCAAGTATTTATACTTTCACAAGTAATAATTCTCATTAGTGGAATCATAAATTCAACTTTCTGGGTCATGACTAACATTAAATTTAAAAAGTAGAAAATAATAAAGCATATTGTACATATTAAGGATAAATATTGATTTTTGAAACTATTCGGTTTTATTTATAGTAAGTTTTGATGTAAAATATTTCTATTGTTTTCTTTTTTTTGAGACAGAGTCTTGCTTTGTTGCCCAGGCTGGAGTGCAAGGGTGCGATCTTGGCTCACTGCAATCTCTGCCTCCCAGGTTCAAGTGATTCTACTGCCTCAGCCTCCTGAGTAGCTGGGATTACAGGTGGCTTCCACTATGCCTGGCTAATTTTTGTATTTTTAATAGAGACAAGCTTTCACCATGTTGGCCAGGCTGGTCTCGAGCTCCTGACCTCGTGATCCAACGTCCTCTACCTCCCAAAGTGCTGAGATTACAGGTGTGAACCACCTCACCCAGCCACTGTAAAATATTTCTTACTATGGGGCTAGGCATGGTGGCTCACTTCTGTAATCCCAGCACTTTGGGAGGCTGAGGTGGGCAGATTGCTTGAGCTCTGGAGTTTGAGACCAGCCTGGGCAACATGTGAAACCCTGTCTTTACATAAAATACATAAATTAGCTAGGTATGGTAGCTTGCACCTGTAGACTGCGGTGGGAGAATCACCTGAGCCAGGGAAGTCAAGGCTGCAGGGAGCAATGATCGTGCCACTGCACTCCAGTCTGGGTGACAGAGTAAGACTCTATCTTAAAAATATATGTATATTTGTTACTATGGGTTGGGATAATGGTCAAAATTTTGGAAAAGTTGCAAAACAGTGGGCACGTAGTATGCTACTGTTTGTGTAACAAAAAGAAGAAAATATTGATTTGTATTTGCATAACAAAACAAGGGAAGAATTAGGAGTGGGAAAAGGGGAAATGGAAGAACTGGGTGGATGGTGGGTAGTGAGACTTACCATCAGTGTGGTTTTTAATATTACTTTGATTTGTGAACCTTGAGAATGTATCACTCATTTGAAAATAAATTGAACTTTTTAAAGTATCCATTCAGATGACCTTAGAGGTTTTTAAATTTCCTATCCTAAGGTTGTAATTCTGTAAAACAAAAGTAATGGCACTTAACTTCCGTAGAAAAATCAAGTCGCTCTTAATGTACAGATAAAAAATTAACTGGCATAGTGTTCACATAAAGCTCTATTTCCCAACTAACGCTTACATTGCTGTATTGTCTATGAGTGTTCTTGCCATGTCTTTAATGTAAACTCTGGTTGATCGTCACAATGAACTCTATCTCACCTTCCTTCTCCCTATTGTATGTTTTATTCCTGCAATCTAGAACCTCCTCAGGTATATGACTATCTTGTTGGCATTTAAGTTGTGGCACCCAAATGTCACTGTCACTTTTTCTTAACTTATCATAATCATAATTTGATATTTTTTTCCTCCAAAGATCAGTTCTCATGCTGATCACTAGAGCCATTTCTTTGTGTGTCTTTTTTTTTGTTATTAGTAATTCAAAGCAGTGTTCTTGCCTTCTCTTCAGGTGTGCTGTGGAATTTTTAAGTTTATAAGAATGCTACAGGGAAATAAGTGTCAAGCTCAATTTTCACACCAACTATACATTAGAATTACCTGGAGTGCTTTAAAAAAAAAAAAAAAGACCAATGAATGAGCCTTACCCCAGACCAATTAAAATAGAATCTCTAGAGATCTATTTCCATTTGTATTTTTTCCATCTTCAAGACAGGGTCTTGCTCTGTCACCTAGGCTAGACTGCAGTGGTGCATTCATAGCTCGCTGTAACCCCAAACTATTGAGCTCAAGTGATCCTCCCGCCTTGGCCTTCTGGGATTACAGGCATGAGCCATTGCACCTGACTTCATTTGTGTTTTTCAAAGCTTTCCATTGGAGAATCACTGGTCTAAAAGTATTCAAGTTAATTTGAGGATTTAACTATCTCAAGCTTTATTTTTACAGGCTCCTGCAAAAAGAGGAAGTTTGGAAACTAAAGATGATATTCCATTTCGAAAAGTTCTTGGCAGTCCAGGTAGAGGATCGATGAAGGCTGTAGCAGGAAGTGGAATAGCTATTACTCGGACGATTCCTTCTTTGACGTCTACATCAACACCTCTTAGATCAGGGTTGCTAGAAAATCGGTAGGACAAACTGTTTTTTCTTAGTCATTAGCTGTACCTGTTTGTAAATGTATTTTTGAGGCCTTTTAGAAATACCAATAATTTGAGGAGAAATAAAGGTATAGAGTACATTTTTGATAGATGTAATGATTATTTGTCGTACATAGTTTACGTCAGTGACACATATTGAGCGTGCAAATATACAGCATATAGATTTAAATATGGTGTAGAGAATTAGATAACAGTAGTCCCATTTCCTGTCCTTAAATATGTTGGTTTATAAATTTTAATGATATGAATTATGACTTTTTAAAATAACCTTTTCTTTGTTCTCTGTAGTACTGAAAAGAGGAAAAGAGTGTTATCAACTGGCTCAGAACTGAATGAAGATTACCCTAAGGAAAATGATTCATCATCGTAAGTTACTTTAAGGACCTTTATGGTATTAGAGCAGTGTTTCTTATACTGGTATTTATAACCATTGGGGAAGATTAGAGGAATGGTTTTAATTTATGAGAATTCCAAAGATAGAAGAACAGAATTTGAAGTGGTTTGGTGACAGTAGACTGTAGGCTCAATAGAGAGGGAAATTGGCCATTGCTATTGCTTTGGTCATTTCGTTGCATTTCTCTTATCCTGCCTTTTAAAAAGTATGCAGTACTTAGTGGGAGAATAGAACTGAAGAACTATCAACAAATGTTTCTTGCTGGCTGCTGTTTTAATGTGAACACTTTCTTGTCTTCTTTATGCTTATTTTTTTAATTTAATTTTTACTTTTTCACTTTACTCGTGTAAAAAGTCAGCCTAGAAGTTAAAGGATGTGAGCCTGTGTGTTCTAGGCAAGTAGCATTAATCTTTCAGAGATGTTTTCTGCATTGAACAGAAGGGAATAGATCAACCCAGGGTGCTCACCAGCTCATAATCATTTTCCTCATTTTGTGAGGAATTCTTTTTGTTTTGTTTTCTAAGGGAGAAAACTAGTTATACAGTTATTGGTCAAAACTTCAGTTCATACCTTAACAGAATCAGTTGGTAGACAGTTAATTGGTACTTGAGGTCAAGGGGTCACCAGAAAGGAGTTGGGAAAAAGCCATAGAAACTTTATGTGTTAATTGATTTGCTGCTGTAGTAGATGTAAAAGTCTTGAGTAGGTTATACGACTGGTATCTGAAACTATAATCACCATGGACTCAGATTATTTCTGTCTTGTTGATCTGCCATCTTTAATAAGCGGCCTCCATTTTGTGGACCAAAGTAGCTGCTTCAGTCTCCAAAAGCGAAGGCAGTCTTCCTTAGGCTGGAAATTGTATATACCACCTTTGTGCATAGCACATTGGCCAGAACTTAATCACATGGTTACATCAGGTTATGAGAAAGTCTGGGAAATATGCCTGTGTTTCAACTATTGTGGCAAAAGGGTACAGTTATTATTTGGGGACAACTAACACAACAAATAGTCTGCTGTAGTTTGCCCCTCCAGCCACCAAAATAACCCAGTTCACTATTCTTCCCATACATAGAACACCCTTACACCCACCCAAATGGAAAAGAACTCCAAGTCTCATGAGAACATTGTATCTAGCTCAGTGTCGAGGATCTTTGGATGATCCTTCTCTCTTTGTATAGGCTTCTCTATGAGGTCTGGACCATGCCCCTCATGGTCTGGTATCTAAAAACTAAAAGGCAAATTAATTTGCATTCCCTACTGTGGTCCTCAGGCACACATCATTTTACATTGCTGGAGTAGGAACAGAATAACCACAATAAAAATTTCTTTTAAAAATAGACAAGAAGCCAGGTGTGGTGGCTCATGCCTGTAATCCCAGCACTTTGGGAGGCCGAAGCAGGTAGGTCACAAGGTTAGGAGTTTGAGACCAGCCTGGCCAACATGGTAAAACCCCATCTCTACTAAAAATACAAAAATTAGCTGGGCATGGTGGTGGGCACCTGTAATCCCAGTTACTTGGGAGGCTGAGGCAGGAGGATCACTTTGAACCCATGAAGTGGAGGTTGCAGTGAGCTGAGGTTGCACCACTGCACCCCAGCCTGGGTAATAGAACAAGACTTTGTCTCAAACAAAAAAAAAAAGTAGTCAAGAATAGGAAACTGGAGGGGTCTTGGGTCTATAGCAGTGATAAAATCTTGCTAGGTAGAAATTGTGAGGACAGTTTATGTGGTGGAATAAGTTCCTGGTTAGCCTATCTAGAAGTCTGATTCTGTTGTCTGGGGGAAACCCCCTTGCCCATTGTATTCCATGTGACCACTGGCTTTGCCTTCTGGCAGGTTTTCCTTGTTTGTTTTCTTTAACGGCCACCACCAAAATAGATTTTGAAGACTATATTCTTTATCAGGGTCGTATAGCTTTTGCAGCCTGCTTCATCCAAGTTTAAAGATTCTTTTTTGTTGTTTGTTTGTTTGTTTGTTTGTTTTTTTGAGGTTGAGTTTCGCTCTTGTTACCCAGACTGGAGTGCAATGGCGCGATCTTGGCTCACTGCAGCCTCTGCCTCCTGGGTTCAGGCAATTCTCCTGCCTCAGCCTCCTGAGTAGCTGGGATTATAGGCACGCACCACCATGCCCAGCTAATTTTTTTGTATTTTTAGTAGAGACGGGGTTTCACCTTGTTTACCAGGATGGTCTCGATCTCTTGACCTCGTGATCCACCTGCCTCGGCCTCCCAAAGTGCTGGATTACAGGCTTGAGCCACTGTGCCCGGCCTTAAAGATTCTTTTTTTTTTTTTTTTTTTTTTTTGAGGCGGAGTTTCGCTCTTGTTACCCAGGCTGGAGTGCAATGGCATGATCTTGGCTCACCGCAATCTCCGCCTCCCGGGTTCAGGCAATTCTCCTGCCTCAGCCTCCTGAGTAGCTGGGATTACAGGCACGCGCCACCATGTCCAGCTAATTTTTTGTATTTTTAGTAGAGACGGGGTTTCACCTTGTTTACCAGGATGGTCTCGATCTCTTGACCTCGTGATCCACCTGCCTCGGCCTCCCAAAGTGCTGGATTACAGGCTTGAGCCACCGTGCCCGGCCTTAAAGATTCTTTAAAGGTAAACCAAGCAGTGCTTCAGAAAGAATTGGGGTCTATATATATGCATATATTTTTATTTTTATTTTTTAAATTTATTTTTATTTTTGAGATGGAGTCTTGTTCTGTTGCCCAGGTTGGAGTGCAGTGGTATAATATCGGCTCACTGCAACCTCCATCTCCCAGGTTCAAGCAATTCTGCTGTCTCAACCTCCCAAGTAGCTGGGATAGCAGGTGTACGTCACCACGCCTGGCTAACTTTTGTATTTTTAGTAGAGATGGGGTTTCACCATGTTGTCCAGGCTGGTCTCGAACTCCTGACGTCAGGTGATCTGCCTCCCTTGGCCTCCCAAATTACTGGGATTATAGGCCTCAGCCACCACACCTGGCCGGTATGTTGCTTTTCATCAGTGATTGCCAGTTGACTAGCTTTGGCCTGAATTTACATGTCCAAATAGGACCTTGTTGCATGCAATAAGAAGCACTAACACAGACCAGTATCCTTAATTGTCTTAATCTTTTACTATAGAGCTATAGGTTCAGTGAGTATGAGTTTTGCGTTTCAAAACATTAATATGACAATTTTTATCAAATATTTTACTAAGGTATAACAGTGGTCACCACCTTTCTAATTTGTAATATTGGTGTTCTTACCTCCCTACCCTCTTACTAAGCTAGTGCCATATACTTTAGGTTTGTTATGGTAGCACCCCACTTTTAGTAACAAAATTTGTATATTCAAAGCCTACTTGAAGGGAACAAAATTCAGTCTAGCCAATTGATATACAAAGATATTGTCACACAATGAGTATTAAATGTCTTATAGAATCATTAGGAAAGTTGAAAAGATAGTCTCTAAGTTAGGTTTTCAGGAATAATTTTGAGGAAGTATTCCCCAAACCAGATCACCAAAGATGCTCCTGGATATTCTGTCATGAAGCTAATAGCTGAATTGGGATCTATCATGAAAGCTGTCTTTTCTGGCCGGGCGCGGTGGCTCAAGCCTGTAATCCCAGCACTTTGGGAGGCCGAGGCGGGTGGATCACGAGGTCAAGAGATCGAGACCATCCTGGTCAACATGGTGAAACCCCGTCTTTACTAAAAATACAAAAAAAAACTAGCTGGGCATGGTGGCCCATGCCTGTAATCCCAGCTACTTAGGAGGCTGAGGCAGGAGAAATGCCTGAGCCCAGGAGGCGGAGGTTGCGGTGAGCCGAGATCGTGCCATTGCACTTCAGCCTGGGTAACAAGAGCGAAACTCCGTCTCAAAATAAATAAATAAATAAATAAATAAATAAAGCTGTCTTCTTTAGAACCATGCTGTCACTGCCAAGATTGGAAATCCTATACGGAAAAACCAAGGTGATATTTAGCATCAGAAATAGCGGAATAGTAATGCTTCTGCCTTATGTACATTAAGTTTGGGCTCCCTAGAAGCTGACCTAGATGAATATATTTATGCAAGTGACATTTAAAGCAGTGCTTATAGAGAAGACAAATAACAGAGTGGGAGAAGCAGGCCAGAGAAGAAGAGGAAGCCAATGTATAATGTGATCTCAGGTAAAAGTACCACAGAGAATAGGCTTCCATCTTGATCCAGCAGGGAAACTCTTGGGTTGTTCCAGCTTGAGGCAAGGAGGCTGGGCTTTCAATATTTCCATACTGGACAGTCTTTGGTTTCCAGTTCTTCTGGCTCTGTCTAGGTGGGCAGAGTGTTTTAAGTAGTTCAAATGCAGTCCTCTGAAGAACTGTAGATGCCTACTGGTGAACCACATTGAAAATACACAGTCTAGGGGTGTGTAAATGATAAAAAGGATCTTAGGGACTCTGATGGAGTGTCACCATTGTCCACTAAAAGAGATGGTACTATAGTTCCCCCTTTCCCTAGTTTGTACCATTTATATTGACTCCTGTCTTGTATTAAATTTATCTTATTTTGTCATAGAGTCTTCATACTGTTGCTTCCCAGTTCTGGGGAAGAATCTTACAAAACGAGGCTTAGTGGGATGCAATGTGTTGCTGCAGGTGGTCTTAGGGCTATAACCATATTATCATCTCTTCCTACCATTAATTCCATGCGTCCTCTACTAACACCTCTCATCTTGATGGTTTGACTAAATGGCATGACCAAGATCTTCATCTGAGGGATTTGAGCCTTTGGTTACCACGTGCTTGTCAGGCTGTTGTTGTTGTAATTGCCTGTTATAATTACTTGAGAGATATGCTGCCACTGAGCATGAGAGCACTAAAAGGCACTCTAGTGAATCCTCTTTGTTCCAGTTATATTCCTCACTGCCCTCATTATATAGCAGCAACCTTTCTTCCTTATAATAATCAGTCATTTACTCCTGCCAATATGGCAATTTCTTTCCTTTCCTATGAATCTGCCTGC